CCCCCCTATCTTAGAGTGAGAACATTGTAAATAACGGCTCAGTCCCTTATTCTTGTCTTCTCATCTCTCTCCTTTTCTCACTCCCATTGTCCGATGTAATTTAAATACAAATGTGCGCGCCCTATCTCTTTTTGTAGCAAACTGTAATTTCTCGGAACTACATTTCATAAACTTTTCATTAGAATGAATAGAACGCAGAACAATCTAAGTCTTGATCGCTAATCGCATTTATACATGCGAACGGACGATTGCAGTAGATAAATCGCAGTAAGAAACTTTAATCTGCTGTTTTTCATCTCCGTTTGCAAAAGTACGGTTGATTTATTATTTTCTGACTAGTCAAAGAAGGCTGATGCAGTGGTTAACATTCGCGTATTTTAAGTCAAAGGTCAGATATCAATACCAGTCAAGGTAGATTCAGTGATGTTCCAACTAAGACAAATTCTAATGAGCAAGGGCATCGGCACTTGCCTCTCAATGCATGATCATGGGTGCTGGTGATCAAAAGCAAAAAAAGGAAGGCGAACTTCATATCATGAATTAAAAAAAAAACAAAGCAAGAGTACACGGAAAGTACGATATCAAATTGGAATGGTTGATGCGGTCAATCGGTAAAAAAATTGTTAAGGTAGTAAAAACCTATCATGATCAAATTGATCGTCTGGATGATAAAGAACATAGTTGTTTGGACGCGTACGTTGACAGGATATCACCGCTAACTTCATTCCATGGTACTAAGCTGTGCATAACTTGTTCGAAGGAAACTTCTTGAAAAGGTTCTTCACAGAAGCTATCCTATGGAGAAAATTAGAAAATAATCAAAATTACAATTGGGAAACCAGATTTATGCCAGGCGATAGCAGCAACATGATTCGAAGGAAGGCTGTGTTCTTCAAATGACCATTCTTCCGAAACTAGACCGGGAAAATTGCACTTGGGTTTATCACCCGTCAAATCAAATTCGACTGAAGAAACATCCATTCTCAGCCCCGTTCCAGTGTTCTTTACAAATGCTTCCTTTAAACACTAAATGAACTGAATCGAACAAATCAGCACTGCGAAAAATACCCAAAGTCTGAAAAAACGGCGAATTTTGGTCTCTTCATTACTGTTAGAAATAAGCCAACGAAATTCAGAAGAGCTGAAGAGGGAATTCATTTTATGAATAAAACTATCGACTGACGTTGAGGGAGCTAAACTATAATTTTACAAGTGACTGAACGTACGCGGCAACTCAACTCGCATAACGTCGACTCCAGTACGCATATTTTGACAGGATGTTAAAAGAGTGAAGTCACCATTATGTGACAAGTTGAAATCAAAATTAGACGAATTTATGACATACGGTCGACCGTCTGAATCCCTTCGCACGTCAACTAGGGCAGAATCAAGTGACAGACAATGCTTAGTTGCATAGAGAACCAAGAGACGGGCTGCCTACCAATATAGCCATAATTAACAGCTAATTTATTGAGTACTTACCAAACATGACTTGACATCACGTCTGTAGGCGTACTGTAGTGATCTTACTTGGTCCCCCAAAGAGATGCAGCGAAAAACGTCAAATAACTGCTTTTCAGTGGGCTCCCAAAGGCCATGGTTAAAAGCCAACCGTTTTAACTAAATAAAGAAGATGGACGAATGGTTTATATTTAACCATTCAAAACGGCTAGAATAGCCTGTACAATACGAAAAAAACTACAGAATATAAACTACCATAAAATTCTATCAGCCAAACCGAGAGGGCCGGGACAAAAGGCAATTAAACTAAATACAATTTGGTCAAAAATTAATAAATTATATTGTTTGAAATTAAGTGTGACGTAAATATTTTGTTTTAAACATGAACAACTGAGTTTTAAGTGAAATCCTTAATTAATTAACTTCAAGAGATAGTGGTATTGAAACACTAAAAGATTCATTGAAAATGGAATGTTATTAAAAAATATCTTATATTTTATTTAGACACGAATAGTAGAATGATTGACCTCTGGTAAATAGATTGAGATTTTCATAATGAATATCAAGAAAATACTAGACATTACCAAATTAGTGCGTAAGGCAATATAAGTTAGGATTTGCCAAGTCTTTCGCACAGCTCAAATTCACAAATTGTCTAAAGCAAAGCACAGCGCAACAATCAAATGTTATATATGGTATTCACTGAATGTATTTGGCAAACTTTTTCTTTCGGAACATATAAATAGTTTGAATTAACGTTCAGAAACTAAAAATACATAAAAGTAGCGCATATCAAAACACCAACCTTGTTAATTTTTGCAATTTATTAAAAATATAAGTGGAACTATTATTATGCTGTAACAGCATCTAAATTCACAATGGAAGGAATTTGTTTTTACTGAGTGCTTTACAGCCGATCTTTTGGATGCGCTAATCACAGTCTTTGTAAGTTTTTAGAGCTATTATTTGTAATATGTATAATATTAAGGTTATTTCTTTGTTTATATTCATTTTATGTTATGTTCTGCTTACTTTAATTGATGCAAAAATTAATTATTTGTTTTATCTCGTTTTTTTAATATTAATTAACTTTCAGGCCTAAATTTCAGCCACTATTTTTTTCATATTTGTCATGGATTTGTTTGTGTTCCTTGAAATCTGCATTTTTTTCAGAAAAATATATGGAACCCGGACAATCGTTTTCAGCTCCAACGCCAAACCCGACTTATGATATCGATATGTCGGAATCAGATATGACGCGTTGGCTTCTTCGTCTCAAATACTCAGTTATTTTGCGTCGAAGGTTGAGGTCATCTCAGATTACTAATAGGCAATTTCTTCTAAATCATCCAGGCCGATCTATAAACTGTTTTCACTTTAAAGTTCTTCTTGGGCTAGCCACTTCAGCTTATTTCCTTGCCAAAGACACCTTTCCTTCAAATGTTGTTGGTTTGGATTGTGATGAAAATAATTTCCAATGCAAACTGAGTACTCATGATATAAAAACCATTCTTTACCATCGAGGAGTAAGTCCGGAGTCGTTTTTCGAGAGGAGGGACCTTGAAATATTATCTGCGAGAACGGGTATTTTGATTACCATTTTTTAATGTTTGTCGTTTAATTCGTTTATTATGTTTATCAAATTAAAATTGATCATATGTTATGTTTGTATTTCAGTTCATTCTGCATTTGTTTCGGAATTATCTATTGTATCTGCACTTTTTTCTCTTAGGTTCTGTAGATGAATTAGAACTCCAAACAGCTCTTGCTTACGACGAATTTTTTCAGAATTTTAATTCAACTTGTGATAAGGAGGCAACATTTTACCGGAGTTTTATGTCTAAACTTTCTCTAAAACATCATCCTGTTCTTTGTGATGAGGAAACTGCTGGATTAAAGACCGTAGTCTTCGATAGCCCAGGTCTCTTTATCGATCGAATAGAGGATAATAGGGAGAGCATCTGGCTTCTTTCTGTTGTTTATTCCGATGTTGATGCAACCCACGCAATCAATCCGGCCATTTGGTCCCGCTTGGTTCACCATTTCTCCTCCATTTCAATCAAATTTGGTATCCTTCTTTGTGATAAACTTGAGAGGTTAGTTAATATTAATTTTCCATGACCCTTTAGATCCTGTTTCATAATCCTTTCATCTTATAGCATTTGCAATGAGTACGGATTCACGCCATCTGTTCTTGTGATAGTCCTTCCAGTTTCATATCAAAACCGCAAGCCGTCTGTCGAATTTAAACGTCTTTCTTTAGCGCATTCACCCCTCTGTGATGATATTACTACACGTGGAAGAAAAGGATGTATCCTCCTTTTGGATCACGTTACAAATCTCTTGCAAAACTTCCTTTCCCAACGTGTTATCCCCTTACAATCACTCCCTCAACTTCAGTCCCCAAAGTACGCTCGATCGCAAGCCTTGAACATGATTTGGATTCCTGGCGAGCGGTTCTGTAATAAATCTTATCCCCTTGCCAACGCTGATCGTCAAGTTTTTTCTCGTCCGCCTCTTGCTTTCTCCATTCTTTCAATCTCCTATCTTGGGAGAGCTGCATTCTGGTCCCTTGATCCGCCTCGCTCATCGTTATCTAGGACGGATTTAACTCAGGAAATTACCTCGTATACCTCGACTATTAATGAGATGCTTCAGCAATTAGGATGTCATTCTATCGAAGAATCATTTAATGGAAATTCCCGATACATTCTCTTTACCTCTGAGGGCTACTGTTATGTCCAATCTAAACTTTCTTTCATTCGCTTGGATAATCTCCTTCGATGGAACTTTCCCTCTTCTAACGACCTATTTTTATTCGGTCTGGTTACAGTTAATGCCTTAATTATCGTGGCCTCTCTCTGCCAGTCATTACCTTTATTGAAGCTGGCCAAATTCATTTCCCACCGTTGCACCTTTCTTTTTAACCGAAGGTTAGAAAAATCACTAAAAGATGATGGTAATCAGAGTGCAACATCATCTCCTCTTAAAGTACGAACAAAGCTAATTACCAATGTGGTTACGGCTACCTTTTCTGGATGGAAAAACTATACTCCCTTTATAGCTGAGGATTCTAAAAATAACGTATCACAAAATGCGAGCAGAATGCAACGGATCGTCTCTGTACTTGAACAGGGCTTTATCTTGCTCTTTAGTATTATCTTCAAAATATTTCTAGCTAATCTACTCTTCATACTTGCTGCTCTGCCAATTATTAATTTTGTAGGTCATACATTGCCCCTGGCTTCTATCCTTTTAAAATTCCTTAGGTTTTGTGTGTACTGGTTTGATTTAGCGACTATTTCACTGACTTCTCTTACGGTTATTTCGCTTCTCGAGATTTCCGCCTGTGCCATTGTACTGACATTAATTCTTGATAGTATGACTTATTGCATTGACAGAAAATTATTTGGAAAGTGGAAGCATTTGTCGTCTACTTCTAGAGTAATTCCTGCCAACACCGATCCATTTGTTGCAAAACTCTATAAAATGAACTGTGCCGCAGTGGCATTCAACTCACCAGCCCTGCTGGCTCGTTACTTGGTTCTTTCTGATGAGGAATTCCCGGTGGAATCAAACCGACAGAGCTCTTCTTCCATCTCGGACGCCGAAATGCATCCCGAACCTTCGACTGAAACAGCCTCATTGAGAGCTTGTGAGGCTGCGCGACTTTATCGGAAAGCCATTGAGTTGGATAAAGCTGTAGCCATGGCCTCTAAGCAATCACATCTCACCTGGCAAGCTACCCAAAATTTACTTTTAAATAGAAATAGTTCTTCTGAATTAATCTTTCCCGCCAAATTGTTTGTTTGGAAGTTCGCTTCCACCTCAAAACTCTCGTCAAAGGTGTCTGCCAACCGGCCTGGACATATTAAATCTAAAATTGCATCGCCACGGTTCGCTATTGAATCTCGGGATAGAGATGAGGAAAAGAGCTATGAGGCTAGTTCGGAAAGCGATAGGTGTTCTCCTGCTGTTCACCCTTCTTCATTTCTTGGACGCCACAGGAGGCCACGGCGACCTGGGAATTTAAACAATACAGAACCATGCCTTCAATGGCCTTCCTGGGTCATCACTTGTGAGAAGTGTGTAATTTGTTGGCGGGAATTCGAATGTAGAACTATAATGGCTGCTTTATCGTGTGGACACGCTTTCCATGCGGAGTGTTTAAAATCTTGGCTGGACGTTGGCCGGGATGTTTGCCCAGTATGTCGATGGCCGGCCCACCTGTCTCATAATCAACGCGAGAAACATCTGATTTGTCAACTCATTAGAGCTCTTAGGACTTGCTTACGTACAGCTCGAAATAATAGCAGCAATTCTTCCTCCTCGGAAACAGAGATCTCCACAAGAAGATAATTTTCCCAAGACAATGCTCCCTTGAGTTCCCTCTTTTAACCTCCTACTACTGATATTATCTATGTTGATAATGTTAATTTGTTTTTTTTTGATTTTTTTTCTGAGATTTCACTAAATTATTTATTACCACGCGCATTTATTTTTATTTGCTAATTGTATAGCTTTTATGTGTTGTTGTTTTGAGGTTTACATGCCATGTTTATTACGGCTTTTTCACTAGTGGGTAATTCTGCACCGGTACATTGATGTTTATTGCTTCATTCTTTTTAACCATATTTCACCAATAGCAGAAGTTCATAATAATAATATACTCATTCATATAAGCGATTTTTCTACCTCTACCTTCTATTTTATACGCAATCGTAGTAAACAGCTCTGTTTTTTTCAATATCTATGGCAGTAGGGCTTCGATAGTGTACTATTCATGCATTAAATCCGTTGGTGGAATCTCTGCCCTCTCCGAATGTACCACTATGTAAGTGGTAATCAAGGCCACTTGGAACTGTGCAAGCGTTCATGTGATCTGCGACGCTTACCAGCTATGGAGTGATTGATTTCTTTTTGTTCACAAAGATCCTGTAACCCTTCTTTTAAATGCATTAGCCCAAATCTGTCCTTATAAGGTTTAAATGATCAGACTGATTATTCTCCATACAGCAGATATGCTGTTAAAGTTGGAAGCTGACGATAAAATCTGATTTTCGTCCTGGCAGAAAAAAAATGGATGCGCCTTCATCCTCATCGTCGATAAAGCGAGAACTCGAATTGGGTGGTTCCACAAGCAGCCCTTCTTCCTCAAAGAAACGTCAATCTTCTGAAGCACCATTGGTGAGTACTTTTACTATTTCCAATCAGTTGTTTATTTTAACTGAGGGCGGAGGGTGGGGGTGGAGGGGAATGAAAGCAATCGATCACTTCCGATAATATTAAACTATATTTCGCAATCTGCTTAATATTTTGTTCAAAATTAGTTTATGTGCTTTTAATTGGCGCGCTTATAAAATGACCTGTCTTTTTTCTCGACTCGAGATGTATTGTTGTTATGCTTATTTAGCTTCCTTTTTATTAGGAGTTTATTGAAATTTCTTATTTGCTAATTGTTCAGTAATTCTTGAATTCATTTGTGCGTAATGGGTTTGGACGTTTATAAATCTTCAAAGATATGTTAAAATATTTTCCAATTTATGTTTCATTTGATTAATTTTTGTCTGATCTTATTGAAGTTTGGTTAAATCACTTTTGTCCTCTAAACTATTTCAGTCAATGCATATTTTTTGGTAATCGTGTTTTACCTATTGACCTACTGAATCATTAAATTTTGCTTTAGTACGGACATTTATCCATTTTACTTGTATCGTCTCATTGTGATTTTCGACTCAAGTTCTTTTTATCTTTACTCTGTCCAACAATTCCGTTCCTTGTGTTATTGGCATCAATTAGTGTAAGTGACACAACGGTCAGATGACTAAAGTTAAACACGTGATTGAGCGAGTTGAATTGAACGCCCATTAATTCGCATGACGGGCATCGAATTTTAAATAGAAATCTAGTTTGGTTGGTCGTATCTGCTATTTAAATGTGTAATTTCAGAAATATTAATTCATTTCATTGACCTATTTACCTTATCGGCGTATTTTTTAAGAAAAAAAATTAGATTCATCAGTTTTGAACTTCGAACTTTTGACGCGGGTGTAGGGTCTAATCAGGGCAGGCATCATTGGGATATTGGTACGGTAAAAAGAGAGTTCCAAAGATTTCAGTGTTTAGATGTGTGATTTCCGCTTTTGAGGTGTATTCTTCAAGTCGTCTTCCTCCAATTATTTTACCTGTTTCTCGCCTTACTTATGAAGTTGCGAACATTCCTATTTGGCGTTTTGAGACCTGGAGGGCTTTTTACTTGCAAAATTTCACCAAACTATTTTTTTCGTGTCACTTATCTAATTTGTGAATCAACACAAGCAACAGATCCTTTTAATTCGAGAAAAAAACATATGAATTCTTCAAAAAATGCCTCAGTGATAACTATCTCGAGATTATCTTATGAAAGTTTTCGAGGGTGATTTGTTGTCCTCAATTTGATTAAATTAACATCGGTAAATATTAAATAATTTTAAGTTACCTTTTTTAAATGCTCTCATTCATCGAAGGCGTGTTTTGTCATGGAAGTTGAGGTCTCCTCCTTGAAACATATCAGCTTGACTTATCTCGAAAGAGGAGGCATTTATTTCTATTTTGGTATTATACTGTGACTTTTTATTGAAGCCATTTAAAGTTTTAAAGTGCCCTGAGCGAAGTTGTTGTATTTGGCTGAGTAAATATTTGATGATAGCTCTGTTGAGGTAATCGAATTATTATTTTTTTCTCGATCTTGGCCTTTGCTCACTACTGCTCACTGATTTAATTCCGCAACCTGTGAGGTGTGAGGTGTGTGATAGACTTACCTCCACGTGGTGCACCCTGGGCAATGTATACTCATGCGGCAAAAAAGTCTATTAACCGGCAGTTGACTTCAAACTACCATGACCCCACTGTATGTCATATTCGACTACTTTCACAGTACTCATCCCACCTTTTTTCCACCTTATCTACCTTCGTCTTTGATACACTCTTCTGTTCCCCCCCCCCCCTCTCTCGACTTTTGCACTTTGGTGTTCCTTCCCCTCTATGAAGATTGAAGTCAACTAAATGGCTAATGGTATCAATCAAAACGCCTGCCATTTGATATAGTGATAATAAATTCCGCAACTTGTCTCCTTCAATTCTTTCTATCCATGGTTCATCCCTCTGTCGGAAAGCTTTTTATCGATTTTTCAGCATTCAAATCTTTTGCTAAGTTAGCTTTCCTCCGTTAATTAGGTACGTTTTCCCCTCTTTCTGCTTTCCATTTCTCTCCTCCTCCTCCTATCTCTGGAACTGTAATCTTTAAAGGGTTCGAGGGACCAACGCTTAGCCAATTTTCGCATCATTATAACCTCTAACCTTACCCAATGTGTTCTTCAGAAATAAGTGGCAGTAGGTTGATCAAACAATTTGCCTGCTATAGAGAATTTTGCAAGGTTACTTAATTTTGAGTCCATTGGCACTTAAGGGTATTTGTTGTTTAAAATGTTCCACTTGCACTAACTGACTAAATCCGTGACACGCAATTACTCTCTATCACCTCCAATATCTATCCTATTTTGCTCACATCAGTATCACGATCCGAGAAGCAATAGTGCATAGTAAGAATTCTTCAATTATAACGATAATTACAATCTATATCTTATGCCACATGTGACTTTCATATCACGGTTGAATATTGGAAAATGTATGTGTATAGAGCTTGGGGAGGACAGTAAAAGTATAAGTATGAGAATTCTACTCAAACTGCACTTCAGTTGGCAAATTCACATGACAGGTTATATGCCGCTTTTGTGAAATAACCTTTTCACTTTATACTTATGTCATTATATTGAACGAAGTAAATCAGTCAGTAAAATATCCATTAATTATTGATAATCAATTTGTTAATGTCCTCCTATACCCCCCCCCTTTCCTTTGCACAGAGCGGATGACATTGCGGAGCCCGCGAATAATGTCCCTTCTCGCTTATCCTCCATTATATATTCAATATTTACAATAATCGATTTTTAACCCATTAATCGAATATGGATCTTCTTTCTTACCGAGCACACCCACTTTGGATCACTCTTTTAGATTCTTTTGTGTGAATTTAGTTCAATACATTATGAGGTTTAGTGGGGGCGAAAATAGTGCGAAGACTTGCCTAGAGATTTCATCTTCGTTTTTGTGATTGTGTGGTGAGGCTATTATTATTGCCTCTATAATGGACAAATGTGTATAAAATCTATAGAGAGATCATCTCAGTAAGTGTCTCAAGGAACATCCTGCTACTCTAATCGAATCTTTGAATCTATTAATTTATTTATATCAAATGACAGGCGTTTTGATAGTTATCATTAGCCCTTTAGCTGACTTCAGGCTTCACAGATGGGAAGGAACATAGGAGTGAAAAAGGTCGAGATGGGGGGGGGGTTTCAGAAGAGTGTTTCAAAGATGTAAAAGAGACAGACACAAAGTTGGAAAAAAGGTGAGGTGAGTACGGTTGAAGTAGTCGAATTTGACTTATAGTGGGGTGATGGTAGTTTGAAGTGAGATGTCAACTGCCAGTTAATAGACTTTTTTGCCGTATGAGTATACGTTGCCCAGGGTGCACCACGTGGAGGTAAGTCTATCGCGCACCCCATCCTTGAATCTTGTTGGTTGCCTTTCGGTCTTTAAGAGATCCTTGTCAACTTTCTCATTGTAGTAGCAATAGGAAAAATTTTGAACATAATAATTAGTCATATGTTGGGCCGACATTTTAGGTGCCATGTCCTTTTATCTGTCGTCTAAATTGTTCTAATTAAGCTAGCAATAGTATATGTCGATTTATCAACAACTGATTATTCAATACAAGAATGGATTGATTAGGCGATCAATCTTTCACGCATCTAGTTGATCGGACCTGTAGTGTAAAAGCACAATTTGGTTAAGATAATTTGATCTTCGGTCATAATAAATTGCCACCTGGTAGTGCGCGTCTACTATGAAGTTCTAACATTTTTTTTTCTCGATTATTTTTTGGTAACCATTTCCCATAAAAAGTTTGAACACTTTAAATGATATTCAGTGAGATCTCCAGGGTATCACCGTTTTGTCTGCGCTATATCTGTGAATTCAAATAAATTGACTTTGGTTAAATTCGTGCGAAAATGGCAGTGAAGTAGAATGTTTTTTGTTCTCGCATTTTCTGTCGGAAATTACGGTACATACAACGAGCTTTCCTCCCCCCCCCCCCTGTAATGTCTCCTTTACTTCACGCACTGTTGTTTGGATTGCAGTATTTCCAGCTCATTCTCCCTGTTATTTTAGCGATTTAAATGGCAAATGTGTGCTCTTAGAGCGTGCACTTTTTATGGCCTGATTGTGACCTCTTTCATACGCCCTCATATTTTTCTAAGCTAGGCTTGCATAATTGTTCCATAGCTCTCACTAGTTCATTGAGAGCTCTAGATTGCCCAAGTATTTATCTATTTATTTCAAATGGCAGGCGTTATGATAGGCATCATTAGCCCTTTAGATGACTTCAGGCTTCACAGAAAGGAAGATGAACATCAAAGTGGCAAAAAGTCGAGATGGGGGGGACAGAATAATGATTCACAGACGTAAAAGAGACAGACAGACACAAAGGTAGAAAAAGGTGAGGTGAGTACTGTGAAATTATTCGAATATGAAATGCAGTGGGATCTTGGTAGTTTGAAGTGAGAAGTCAACTGCCAGTTAATAGACTTTTTTGCCGTATGAATATACGTTGCCCAGGGTGCACCACGTGGAGGTAAGTCTATCGCACACTCCAGATTGCCCAAGTTAGGTGTTGCGAAAATTTGTCCTATTGTGCTTGGGAAGGTTTTTTCCTAACCAAAACACACTTGTATGTCAATCGGAAGGAGAGAGAGAGAAATCCGTCTCATCGAATGAAATGATGCGAGCCTGAAAATGCCAATGTCATAGTGAGAAATCGGTATAAGGCAAATTAAGCTTTGCTTTATGAGCTATTGGTGCAGTGATTACCGCATAGGGGAGAGTGCAAACAGCACCTTAGAGGGGGGCTCCACAATACCTTCCCTCCACGCAGATCTAGTGTTATGAACACTTTCCCTAATGAAATAGGCACATACATGTGAGGAATATATGCACATTGGCATGAAACACTGGATGGATCTTTTGGTTACATCGGCCTATTTTTTTCGGATTAGAAATCGACCACACTAAAGCGAAACAAGTTGGATTCTGAGGAGCAGTTAAATGAGCCCGCTGAACAGGAGGCACTGGTGGACGAGGTAGAAACTTTCGGAGAAGATCCTGAGGAAGACCCCGATGAAGAGGTAGAATTCATTGCCGATGGCGATGTACTGGAAGATGAGGCGGTTCTTGCCCAAGTCCTTGGTGTGGATGTTGCTTCCACTTCGGCGGGACCTATTACCGCGGAACAACAGGAAGAGACTAATCGAGCGGAGGATAGGAAATTGCTCGCTCTCATGGCACATTTCAACGAAGACCAGTTGAGTAGATTCGAAGCGTTTCGAAGGGCGACTTTTACCAAATCGGCTGTCAGTCGGGTAAGCATATTAATGTCTATTTTTCTCTCAATTCCAGCAGCTACCGCCCATCCGTCTGTCTGTTTGGTTGGCACTGGTTGGTCATTTTTTGGCCCTTCGACGAAAAATGCATTTCCGGGAGGAAATATCCTAGTATATTTCAAACTCGAAACACATCCGAATCAGTAGTCACCAATGTAATTCTGAATTAAATCCTCATGTCTCTATGGGTTTCGTTGTCTATGCATCCGACTTTGTGGTAATCCAAATTGTGATTTTCACCTCCGCAGCAAATTTCATTTACTACCACTACAATTATCGAAATATTTTCTATTAACGGGAAGCCGAAACGAATTATTTGAATGAAGGAATTTCACAGCTTTCTTACCACGTGGATTGATTAATCAATTATAGTATTGGCACAGTTGCATTTGAGAATTTAATGTTGCTTTCACTACATTAACGTGTTGTCCAGATCACATCACCGGTGATACATTTTTGTTGAAGTAGCGTCATTATCTCCTAACATGCATGCCTCCTTTTAGAAATTACGAATGTTTTACAATCCATCTCAACTAGAATGTCGTTTTCCAGTCTGATACAAAACTTCTACTGTCTTTTAGATCATTTCATCTGTCTCTCAAACCGCCTTTTCTCCTAATGTCGTCATTGCAATGTCCGGCATCACTAAGGTTTTTGTTGGCGAGTTGGTTGAAGAAGGTTAGTCATCAGCCATATTTGTTGCTTTTATAAGATATGCTTATTTTGAAGCTGAGATTATTGCGTTTTCGGCCTTATGAACTTCACGGTTTTTGAAGATGTTTACTCCGATCGGAACCTAGCGTCATTTGATGTCGGGTTTCAGGGTCAAAGATGTGAATTCGCTTGGTATTTTCTTTGAAACAATCATTAAAATTCTCAAATTATTCAGTTTCATTCTTTAAATTCAAATCGGACCACGCCCTGTCAATGATTCAGGTTCTCATTTTTCAAAGTGCCATAGGAACAACACTGTTGCTGAGATCCAACTCAAATCTTGATTCTACAATTCCCAGACACCCAAATATATACTCAACACAGCTTTTCAACAGTCGCTTTTCTCCATCTTCTTTTCTTAGGGAAGATTGGTAGAAGATAGGAGATAAGGACTGTCAAGATGAAAAGTTAACTGCTAGTCTTTCCATTAGATAAGAGGCCTGCACTTCGGAGATCAGTTCATGTTTTTATATCAGTTATAACATCTTTCCCAGCGGACATCTATGGCACTAAGAATTGCAGAAAGCAGATTAACTTTAGATGTATTATTAGGCGAATGAGAATCTTCCTATCAGTTCTACAGAAAGGGTGGGAACTAAAGCTGGCTAATCAATATATGCTTCCATTGTGAAAAGCCTTGCTGTTCCATTATGTCAGAATAGGCGCATCAGTTGTCTTTGGAGACGATTGATTAAGTTCGGGTTGTGTTGATTTCTATTGACTTATTCACAATATAGTCGTAGTTGGATTTTAAAACACTAATAAGTCGACATTTTGGAGGCTAGAGTCAGATAGTCAACCTCACGCCTGACACTGATTTAAAGTCCTAACATGGAAACAATTTGCTATGATTCCTTTCACAGGGAGGAGATAGGACAAATACGATTCGTGAGGAGTAGCAAAGTTGACGATGGAGATCAAACCAAAACCATCGTATCTCTTTCCGCCTTGGTCACCTAAAAGGCACAACAGGACATAAATAAATTTTGAAGGAAAATGCGAGTTCTCATTGTTATACTGAAAGCTCTGAATAGAGGGGACAGTAGTACCACTAATATGTTCTTGTCAGATGACTACAATTTCTTTTTGTAATTTCAGCTCTGGACTACAAGCAACAGCTTAAGGAGACTGGACCCCTCCTCCCCAAACACATCCGAGTGGCCTACGATCGACTACGAATGAAGGATCGCACTTCACGACCCAATCGTCACTTCAAGGCGTTTTAACTTTTATTCTAGTGTGAACTTCCAAACCCTTGTTGTTTTTTTTTATATGGCCCAATATATTTGCAGTTTTACTTTCGAAATACCTCGAAGTTGAATGTTCGGAGTTTGAAGAGTGTGCTGCCATATTCATAGTGTATTTTTAATACATTTTAGCTTAATCTTTGTCACAAGACTGGAATCAAAATATGCGCGGGACCGAGACGCTGTCAGGTCTTAGTGAGAATAGGTCCTTTTCACTTATTTCGGATATCTATAATGACTGCCCTGTTTTTAGTGGTCAGTTCAGACCTCGGGGGTGGGGGGGGGGGGGGGGGGAGGGGTGAGGGAGGAGGAAGAAAGGAGATAACATGGTAACTCACCAGCAGACCCTCATTTTTGAGCCAATAAACCAAAGCACGAGGAAAGTGTTCATGAACTTCATCCAAGCCCAGCAAAAAAATGTTTCATTCGGTTTCTTACCAGGAGTAGTTGTAACACAAGAAAGATGTGTGAAGTCATGACCAGTTTATTAATATCTTCCTTGTCATGTGTCTAGGGTCATTTAGTTAGGGACCGCTAGGCCTGTTATTGACCCATGACAGTTAAGATATATATATATATATAACTTGGGGCATATAAAGAACTGGAATAACGAGAATGCCTCCAGTGTCAAGTGTGCACTGTACAAACATGTTCAGTAGGTTCACTTTCTTTATGAATAGGTCAAATTTAAAATAGTCACAGACGCAAGCTCACGTATTCCATATTCGGAGATGTAGTTATAGAGACTTTGATTTGCAACTCTCACTTTCAGTGGATCACCAATTGACCACTTGAATCCCCATCAATTGTAAACAAAATATGTTAGAAATACTGATTTTGGTGGATACTTGCGGTGGCATTTTGTACCACATGACCATAACACGTGTGTACTTGTCAGTGAATTGGGAGTTTCACTTTCAGTTAACAACAGAGAAGAAGCACGAGGATGCCCCATCAACGCGATTTAAATACAGAACCCTACAACGCCCACTTGACACCAAGTCAGTGGTACAATTTAAAAGTCCCCCCCCCCCCCCCCCCGATTTCTTTGATCAATTCATTAACATATCTTTTTTTTGGAACACAGATCAAATAAAGAACCTGAGACCAAAGAATGTCTTTCATACAACGGATTTGGGTACCAAATGTGGACGGTACTATTGTGCAGTTTGTGGTGAATGCAATCCAGCCGTCTCAGATCCATCTACACGATGTATGGATTACGTAGCATGCACAACACTGCCCGATACCCTTTACCACGCCACTGAAGCGCACATAATAGACGACTATGTTCAACAACGATTCCGAGAGAAGAGACGAAAACTCTACGATAGGCACCAATGAATTAGATTTTACTCCCTATTGCACTCATCGTAATGAGTGGAACATATATATGAAATAAAAAAAATTGTTTTAGTTTAAGCGAACAAGTACCATGTAGGAAAAGTGTCGCACTTTGTTCGATTTTCTAAGTAGTTGCTTTAAAATCACCTATTGTTCTAATGTAGAAATTTTAGATTAACAATGATTAATATTTATTCAATCTTGAAGAACCAATAAGCATTTCGCTTTGCGATGAGTTACTTGGTTCGATTGATGGGTGTAATTTGATAGCTGGAATAAATGGCATTCTGCCTACACATTAAAGCTTCTCCCCTCACACCCAGATCGTCCTCTAAATTTTTGATAGATAAATTGGCAAAATCTGGCAGGACTAGTGTTTTGCATATCTTAGGAGGAGGTTGACAGCAAAAGCTAAGTTTTTATTTGTCTTTCCCTCTTAGCCCAGATGAAAAATTGCCATTAGATTTAGAAAAATAGCCATCTTCAGTAAAAAAACATGGATGAAGTAAGCGTGCCAGCCAGGCTAATGAGCCAGTTAAAGAATAATTCATCGGTAAGTACACTAATGAAAGTCAAGGTAGAAGTTGCTGCAGACATTCCAGCAGACTTTCGGGACTCGGAGATTGACAAATTCCAGTTAATGGAAGCTTTGCATTTTCTATACTAGTGGCCGTAGTGGGTCCAATGGCAACTATCTAAAGGGATAAAGTCTCTAGAATTCGAAAGCAGTGCTTACTTTAGAAAGTACTCATCAAGAAACTAACCCGAGTATTTGCATGTGATAGATCAAGGAAGTTTTTCAGTACCGATTGAGCTAATTCTACACCCGAGGGGCTAAAGAAGACTAGACATAGGGAACGATTTTCTCGCTCCTACATGTGATAATTAAAATCAAAATCGTAGAAGATAATAACCTTTAATGCAGATGCGAGATTGGCACCAAACTCTGGGTTTGGGATAGAGTTATACACAACCACCTCCTCGACAGACAGTCCTAACGCCGCTCCAAATCAAATATGGATATCTTACCATACTCCCTAAGTTTAGTCGTCAAGACGGGACTGTGTTTCGATCCAACAAGAAGCAGAACTGGATTTTTTGATAATTCTTCGAGATGGTTTTCAACAATGAAATTCGCCAGTTTTTCAGCATTACCAGTGTGTGATCCTTTAGGGAAGAAGCCCACTTTTCTTGCTATAAAGAATTAAGGGTACTGAATTGTAACAAGTAGAATATATAGGCCGCTTGAAATCAGTTGGATCGCATGAGATACCTGCATCGGAGGTTGCGGGTCCAACGGCAAAACATAAATCTTCTGGAACACCTAGAAGTATAATCAGTGTTGATAGCCTCTAATATTAACTACCGATCAAATTAGTAGAAGCAAAGGCGGAAACAGCTCGAGGACTACAAAACACAATGCAACTGAAGGAAGATCGCCATTTGCAGAGTCGTTCAAACAGGCAGCCACAATAAGAAAAAGTTATTGTTTCAACGAGATCCGCTTGAATATTGTTTTGTTTCAGAATCTAGACTTATAAATTATATGGTAGACGTACCTTTACGTAAGGATCACAATCACGAGTATAAGCATCCTCGCTCGTCGATTTAAGCAGGATTATATCCATTAAAATCCAGGAGCTAAAGGGACTGGATATTAAGAATTAATAATTCATTCGAAAATATGATAAACAGCGAGCAAATTCAGGTAATCATATATGTATATGTATATGTATATGTATATATATATATATATATATATATATATATATATATATATATATATATATATATATATATACGATCAAGTTAATTGACAAGTCAACAGAAAAATGCCGTTGGAAATTATTTTTTTCTCAAAAAAATAGACATCACATTTCAATAATTAAAGGGAAGGAATAGCAACCGTTATCAATAATTCTACATACCCTGAGGCGCAAAGCAAACCGAAAGCTGGCTAGGCTAGCGAATACGCTGCCCAACAGAGCATCCAACCACATACCATAAACAATTAATTAGATTGCGTGACGTCTTGTCTGGTACACACATGAAATAAATTTTTTCTGGTAAATTAGAAATCGCTATACGATTAAATCTTATTGGAAGTTCTTTTTGTTGAGCTATCATTTTGAGCGACAATCCAATCTATTGAAAATGCTCTGAGTCATAATTACATAAGGCTCTGATTCATGGGATATTCCCATCTATAGCTTCTTATCAACATTAACCAAGACTATTTTGGGTATACACGCATACATTATTGGGTATGACACGCACCAACCCATTGTGAAGGAAAAGTGCGGAGAAATCCGTTTAAGCGTCCATCACAATATTCGAACTGTAGGAATGTCAGCAGTTGCGACATACATCCCATCACGTGGTTTTTTCAGCACTTATAAAAGTGGAACTACTTTTGTAAAAATCGAGAATACAATCACTTTTAATCGACGACCAAAACGTGACCAGAACGTTTTATATATAAGCATAAGTGTTTTTGGGCTGGTCTATCGCTTGGCATAATGGTATATTATGCATTTTGTGTTGGGTTGAGAGTTTATTTCCCGTTACGTGACCATTTTGCATTATAAATTAATGCCACTTTATTTTAGCATTAATGAGAGTCAAGAGGACTTCCTTCAGCTGTCGCAGGTGAAATTATATCATATCATACTTAACCTTACGAACTTATCTTGAGAGCTTTTAATCATTTTTCCTAACTTTGCCTATATAAAAAGGCGTACAATATGAATTGTCTACCAATAACGGTTTGTCATGCCTTCGCTAATTTGAGTATGAGCCATTCGTATTTGTAAATAATATAAGTACTTAAGAAATCGAAGTGTTTGGTGTCAAGATAAGACCGTTAAGTTATATCAAAATGGTGATGCATTAGTTGAATTACTCTGTAACGTTACCCAAAATCTCTTCAATTGTTAGGAAACTTCGGCATAGACAAGCTTCTCTAATTTCACCAAGAGTTCTGAAGATTCAACCAAGCTACTTCCCAATCCAACACCTGGTGACATTTTTTTCATGCAGTTATCAATAACTAACGCATTTTCGATTTGGTCCTCTCGAAGATGACAAATTCACATGCGTTACGGTCATACTTGGCCTTCAAATTTGCTCGCTAGGTTAAGATACGAGTAAGTCTTCTAGTATTTCTATCTGGTGAATCCGACGTCAAAATTCACTATCCTCTCTATGTGTTCAACAAGTTCTATTATTCCATTGAGGATTCTGTCCTGAAGCAAGACCTTGAAACACGCGTGTTCAACCTGAAATGACCGAAACCAGACTGCAAAGGTCAAAAGCAGTCACTTCCACCGAAACCGTCTCTTCTAAGGCTAGCGTTGGCAAAGATCAAATATCGCTTTTCTCAAAGAATGCATTATGAAAATTTTTAAGAGAAATTCAATGCAACGAAACCTGTATGACAGGAGTACATTAAGTCAGATGGAGCATACCAATGGTGCTATAATTTAAGTAACACCTTACTATAGAATATATTTTAGGTTAAAGATCGATGTCATAGCACTTGTGTTCCAAGTTCGTACCAGCTCCTGTTTGTTTATCGTCTTCCCCAAGAAGGGAGGAATTATGGATTAATTTTAATAGCCTCATCGAAAAAGGGAAAAGCGATTGGTAAATGCACACAATATCAGACTTAAAAGCAATTGGAAATAACGATGTTGACGAAGAATTTCGAGCCTATTTCACCCTCTCCCCGGCTCCACCCCGGAACCTGAAGCAAGATGATTTTACAATTTCCCGGAAAGGGTCTCAAAAACGACCTTCATTATCCCATTAACTGCCTGGCTTTTTTGTAATACTGGCACGTGATTATCACCTTTCTACCCAGCGCCTCATACTTGCATAATATATCTAGGCGGAAATGAGTTTGGTGGTTAAACACACATTGGGGCTGTCGCAGTCATAAAGCTGGCTCATAGCCGTTTTTGCTTTTCTATGAGGTGTGGCAAGAGGCCAAATCTCGCTGTCACCATATATTTAGCATCAAAAGCATCCAATTATCGGAGCTGGATTTTCTCAGGGCTCAGTCACAATTTGCCATCTTTGGAACCGGCAAAGGTGCAATATGTCGTACGGTAATCGAGTTAGTACAATGTCAGCTTACTTTCGCCGAAAATAAGCAGGTCAGTCGCCTATATTCCCCAAACACTCTTTTCAATTCTCGGTGTACCAGATACTCTCATTTTTAAATTAAATTAGATTCAGTTTCCCACGATAGGTTAATTAAGTTGAGACACCTCTTCTTACCGCGGAGTGAATTTTGAGGGCAAAATTGGAGGACATCGTGTGAAGACAAGTGACTATCGTAAGAACACTGTATCCTGTCACAGTGCAGGTAATAGCATGGTTATATGTGAGGAACCTATTTATGGCACTACTCGTTACAAAACAGCATGATAGCAATATCTACGGTGTGAAGAAGGAAGGCGATGCAAGGTTTAACAATCATCTACATTAACTTTAACTTTTGGGTTTGACTTCTCCCATTTTGAAAGGCCATATTCGTTAAACAGTCTTGACTTTATTATACTTGCCAACATTACAGTTTGTCCACTCGAATTGCCAATGGTCCTCCGATAGTATTCAAGACCGTGAAAAGAGCTACCTAGCACTATAAGAACGCGGCTAGAATCGAGAGGTGATCAAATCTGTGCACTAATGTGATATGCAGAGGGGAATTGTATATTCCACCGAATTAATTTTTTTCCATTTATGGTTCATCATCTTTCACCCGTAAAATTACTGATTTCTGGTCACTTTTTGATCGAAATAATTTGCTTCTGTTAAAAAATCCGGAAAAAACATAAAATAAAACGTACTTAATACTACGAATTCGCCTTTAATTCTACTTGGCCGATTTGTATTGGGGCAATTACTTAGGTTTATTAAGTATTCGCGACCTTCTTGAAGCAGTTTTAAAATTATTTGGATTTAAAAAACATCGACCTCTCGGGAAATCTTCGCATAAGAATCACAAAGCCTAACGTTTCTCTTTTATATGCCAACTATTTATCATTCTATTGCTTCGTCAAATCTCTGTAAAGTCATGCACATTCGTGATCTACTTTTTGTTGGGACTTAAATACTCCAAGCAAACCTTAGTTCCCTCGCACGCTCCGAAAACGTGGACAAAAGGGAATATTCCCCTTAACATTCACATATGAAAAGCTCGCATTCTTCCAGAATTTGCCTGCACAAACAGCCGTTCTAATCACTGGAATGCACCGTCGGGAACATACTCTATGACCTACAACAACAAGGAAAAGTAATGCAACCTAACCACCGGCCCAGAGCAGTATTTATGCTTTTATTCTTATATGAATTAGTCAGGTTATGATGAAAATCAACTTCCAACTGTTAAAATTATGCCTGGAACAGCTAGGAATTTATGACAACATTACAATTGGCCAATCTTGGTAGCAAAAGTTCGATAAAGAGATGTAGGAGGGCATACTGAAATCTTTGCAGTGATGTCCCACTGCGCTGTGGCAATAGAAACTGGAAAGGAGTGTCGCTGGCTAGACGACAATCAGTGCTCAATATTTTGATAAATGAGGTAAAATAATTACCTCTAAAGAAATGGGTAAATCGATTTTTTTTTCTTGATGTGGCATCATGTCTATTGCCACGATTTGTGCTATTCAAAATGCCGCCTATAATTAGTTAATTCTCTTACACGCTATCCGTGCTTTTAACATCTTTGTGTTCACCAAGTACAAGAATAGATAAACAATTACAAGCGGCATTGATAGATCAAGAAACACTTTCAGCAAAAGTGTCACTCATACGAACCTCTCAATGAATGGTTATAACAAATTCCAAACAGAGATCAAATAATTACATACAGGTACAATGTAACATGTGGTTGAAAGTGGGTCAAGTTCTCAAGGCGTGATAAGATCGATTATCTTCTGCAAGGATCACTTCTCGTAAATGGGGGGAGGGACATGTGAAAAGGGCCTATGCCAGACCAAGATTGGGTAAAAGTGGATTAAACCAGAAATCGTCAAATAAACTTATTCAGATGGAAAGGAAATTGATGAGGAAGTTATCGGTGCTAGTTAAGGGAAAAAAAGAATTGAATGAAAGGCGACGGGAGAAATGCATTTCTTAATCTACACACAAGAGAGATAAGAGTTAAATTCAGATTTATGATTTGGAGGAATCGGTGACAACAGCTGCTGTTGACACATTGGAGGCAGCGGAAGCAGCGGCCGAGCGGGCTGCGTTACTATGCAATGGAGGATTTCGAACCCACCAGGAATTTTGAATTGTTATTGCATCGACAACAGCACTCAAGTGTTTAGTGGATGTTATTTCGCTAAATTGTTTTGCTCCGCTGTTGTACCTAATTGTAGAAAAAAAACGTGAAACGATGGATTCCAATCAAATTGTGCATTAAAAAGGATTAGCAAAGACGAAAATACTTACTTGAAAAACTTATCACACATGCTGTGCGTGATTTTGCGAGGACCGTTCCCACAGATAAACTTCAGCTCCTCAGTGTCGAAATCAAAAGCGTAAAGGGCACGATATTGACATCTGTTATCGCGAAAGAGGACAATAAAGTGGGATCCATCAACTGCGGCAAGTTCCTGGAAGAAATAAATATGATAAATGACCCCTAGATTTTGTCCAAATAATGCTAGTCACTATTAATTTGGTTCTACTTCATCTAATGCCAGTGAAATAGAAAAGTTAGCAATATCTGCAACTGCGTTCGTAAATTCACTTAGTAGCACTTCTACCCCCTAATTAAGTATTTTGCTAACATCTTTATCCAAATCCAGGCTGTGAATATTATTTTAAATAAATGAAATGGAGTTATATTGGTTGTCTTAAAAGTGCACATAATCAAGAATGAACTCATTTAAAAAATAGATTGAGAAGATGAGTCATAATCACTATTTCCACACCCACGTAATTCTATTTGGTTCTAAATTAGTTGTATACGCAATTACTGTGGTAACCAGGGTGGTTACAATGAATACAGAAACGGTTGTTATAACTGGAATCGCATTGGCTAGAATCGCATGCACAAGGTGCAGAGTAATGACACTTCATTCTTTCTCTCCTGCCTTGAATTGAATAATGAATTGAAAAAACAGGGAAAGTGCGGAATAATTCAATTTTATGTTATAACTCAATTAATCACCTAAAATAGCCGAAAATCCTAGAATGTAATAATAGCGTATAATCGTGTTGCTTTTAGATTTTATTTCAAAATTTATTGCTGAAAACGAACCAATAGTTTAACATATTTTAGCAAAAATGTTACTCATATCATTGATTAACATTAAATTGTTAGATTTATTTGTTTTTAATTAAATTTATTTATTTCCATCCATCGGTTTCATTCTTGGTTCTATTTAAAACCATCTGATAACGAGAAGTTAAACGCATTCCATAACTATGGCAGTTATACGAACTAACTCACTTGTAGGGCCAATTTTTTTGCGGGTTCATTGACAGTTCCAGCAAGACAACAATGAGAAATTGCATTAACAATGACTTGTCGATTGGATTTGGATTTCGGCTTTACGAAAAGTTTGGGTTGAGGATAGTTGCCAGCTATTGGAAGACCTGGACCACTGTAGGTACTTTCCTCTCCATTTTCCAATCGATGCAGAGCTGAAAATGGAATCAAAATTAGGATTTCGATAATAGGTTTAAATTAGGGGTTCAGTATTTAACTATCGTTTCTCCTATGATTGGATTAATGGTGTTTCAAGGTGCACATGTTAAAGGATGTGGAAGAACATATCTATAGCATTTAACTCTCTGCTAAAATACAGGGGCCATAGAGTGCAATTATGTATCTTCCTGCAAATGGGCCATATGGATATCAGTTGAATGATCGCACCAATCTACCTGACATAAGCACGTCAATCAAGACACAAAATTACATAGGCCCAGATATCATTGTCACTCCAACTGATCCGACAGCACGAAACTGGAGCTTATTTAGAAACCTACATTAGTAAGAAGTAAGGAACTTCAGCCGGGACGTTTTAAAGAAATGCATGTTGCATAATGCAAATAGAAGCGAATAAGAAAATTAAATTACGAAATATCCCACAGACTGAAATCCCTTATCATCACATGAACAAAGTGCGCTTATACAAGTGATAGAAAGCAACTTTTGTAGTTCAGAGAGTTGATGGCGCCAATTTCAAGATCGCAACAACTCTGATTAATTCACACAAATAGTCACATTATAAACTCGTCAATGATAAACAATAGTTGATCAAACGTACAGGACAGGCTGGGACCATTACTGAGTTGACCTGCGGAAGGCCTTGAAGCTGATCTTCGCCGAGTCGTAGACGTAGTCTCCCGTCGTCCGTTAGTTGACGTAACTCGATTTCCAGTGGTAGGTCTAGCCCCACTACTCGATGTGACCGAACCACGAGCAGTAGACCGCGTCAAAGACGACGATCGCGACACACGACCACTTCCACCGCCACCAGTGCCGGCTCCTACAGCAGAAGGTCTTTGAGAAACTCCTGTTGAAGTCTTTCTGGTAGCAGCCGAGGTTTGTCGGGTTCGAGCAGAACCTGGACGATTGAGTTTGAGTGGATTGTTGGAGCTTCCTTCACCATTGCTGAGCATTCCGTCCTCACCATTAGTTGTGTGCACAGGAAAACCTGAATTCTCAGACTAGAAAAGGAAAGTAAACAAAGAACCAGATATACATTTCCTTCCAGGATTGATTTCAGTATTTTCAAAATTCTTACAACAATGTCAGAGAACACATTACTATCTGCGGGAACTGAGGGAGTATTACGAGCCATTGCTGAGATTTCTGCCATTACTTGAGCTTCTCTATCTGCAATTCGGGCTCGAATAGCGCTTTCTGAGTGCTTGGAACGATCAGCCGCTCTACGTGCCTCAAGTCTTTCTCGAGCTCTCTGAAGGCGCTGTAGTGCAAATATTAGATAAGAATGAAAAGTTAGTACTCATTTTGCCATTAGGAGAGACTATGAGATTTTTCAACGAAACTAACCTCTGACGATGGATTTTCAAAAGTGATGAATAGTGTTTCAGCAGGTTTGATTTCGGGTTCAGGGGTTGGGGACTCTGCTGGGATTGTTGGAACTTCTTCAAAGGGTTTATAATCAGGTGGGGAAGCAGTGTCGACCTGTTTGATTTCTTCTATCTGTGAAGGAAGGGATGGATGCATTTAGAACAAATTTCATTTGAAGTGATGGAGCTGTTGTCAAGGCAACAGTAAAATTTCTAAACGGGAACATTTTCCCGATGGAATGGAATTTTATTTTTTTACACATGTGCACGGCTATCAGTAATTGTATTAGTGATTGGTTGAAGTATTCGCAAAATCCAGCTTTCATTTTGAATTGAATGTTTCGAAATGCCAGTTCTGTGGGTTTCAATGCCACTGCGTATTTTTTTGTTTTAATTCATTTACTTCATTTAAATTGAGGCGAAAAATGATGAACTGATATTCTTAAATCGGAAATTTTGGCAAGGAAATGCATTTGAATTATTTGGATCTTGGAAAAAACGGGCTATCTAACAGTGAATGGTAGCATAAAAAGAGATCACCACAAATACGATTAGTCATCTGTGTTGTAGTTTGACATTTGATATTTTCTCCACAGCCAATCAGTAATTAAGCATTAAAATTCCTCCCACGTAAAACCTTGCAGAGAGCAAATGAATTCCTACTGCGGTTTGTATTCCAAGTAAGTAGCATGCAGGAAAAAAGAAAGTCTTTAGATTTGAAAGGGAAATGAATATTCGAGAAGAAAAAGTTAGCTGACAGTTATACTTTCCGCTCTTCACATTCCATAACTAAGCTAATAGACCGTGAAAAAATACAGTTATTGTTATGTCGTACAATCGTATGAGTAAATGCGAAAAAACCTAGAAGTTTATTTCTAACCACAAAATTGAAAGCTTCCAGACGTGCAAAATAAGTGGCCTTCGAACCAAAAGGAAACAATTTGGATTTAATGCGACTAGTAAAAAAACCTTAAAACAAATAGACTGGAAGTGTAATATACCTCAAATCTCGGGACAGTTTAAACTAGGCGCAATAGGATAATGAATAACACTAATAACTTAAGTTATATAAACATTGAACTTACAAAGATTTCATCATCCCTATTGGTTGAATGTGGAAAACGCATATCATTCATTGTTCTTAGACCGGGTTTAAACCAATCAGCGTAAGAAATATTATGAAAATACGAAATAAAACAAATAAATGCCATAACTATAAATTAAGGAAAGATTAAAATTCAGGCGTTTATCATAAAATAAAAGGGCTTTAATTTCCCAGAATTCAAGTACGTGAGAAATAATTTAATCTTGCAGAGAGGTCGATATCATTAACAAGAAGAGCTTTAGAGAGTAATTAAATATAGGATATTGCTGAACTATCGAATTGAATGAGAAAACCACTATTAATTGCATATTTTAAATAAGGTGGGAGATTTAGAACTACCTTAAATAAATAATGTGGGAGACGAACAGAACAAGGGTTTAAATCTCTCACGCCTTTTACAAAATATAAATTATACTTTGTAAACATACCAGAGAGGTCTCTACGGGTGGTTCATTTTCATTGGTTACGTGATCCGGAGAAGGAGTTAGAACACGCTCATCTGTCCCCTCTTCTCGATCGATTTCTGGTTCATTATTCATCTTCTCTTGAACATCACATTGGGAGGGATACCTCAAAGGCGTTCTGCTGCTCCACATAGCTCGAGTACTACCTGAAGGGGTGCAGGCTAGATGCAGGCGAGATGAGGAATGGGCCGAAGTGACTGATCGAGGGAATTCCGCTTCGTGAAGGTCAGAACGCAGGAATAGTTGCTGCGCGGTGAGTCTTTCAATATCGGAACGAAGAGATGTGACTGATCTGGCGAGTTCAGCGATTACGAGGGCGTCTAAACCTGTACCGGCGGACTTGCCAAGATGATTCAATTCCAAACGATGTGGACGGGGAGGAAGAGTGGAACCTGCTGCGGGGTAACTGAACTCTTCACCAGAATCAACGGCGTCTAAATGCCGTTGATGGTGACGTTGATTTAATGGAGCCCTTCGTCGACTAAAACAATTTTGAAATTAATTGAGTGAGGGAGCGTATGAGCGTGCTGTCACAATGCAATGAAGTTTATGGGTAGGTGCGTTTGTGATTTAAACTTACTAATCAACTTACCGCAATGCGAGATAAAACGGCAACAACGAACCAATCACTATTCTTTTAGTCATCATGTGAAGAAATCCGTTTTTTGGAAGTGTATTGGTGAAATTCACTCCAAAATAGTAAAGATGATTTTTGCATAAAAAATATTCATGAATATTTGAGTAGAGAATTGTTGACGCAAGCAAACTCACTATTTTTTTACATTGTTATTAATAAAAGACCATTAAACAACCATTTATATGTATTTTGTGAACGCGAACAGACACGTTTGGTAATAAAGGCTACAAAACTCAAAATCCTACTATTAGATTTCGAATTGAATTGTGTGTCAAAAAAAATCAAGAAGAATCAAACCGAAGATTCAACTCAAAGGATGAGCAGCGAGACAGTCTGAACTCACTGAAAAAAAAGATGTAAAACTAAAGAAAACACAGATGGAAATACATTAACTTCTGGATTATTGCACAAGTTTCACGCACATGGCATTTTCATACGTTGTTCAGGGGAGGTAATTCATTTATTTTTGTTCTGGAAACACATAAAGGAAATCTTAGCTAAATCTGGAACTTCGTACTATATTTGAAGGGTCTGTTGTCCCTAATCGATCTTAAATTTACATTCCCATGAGCAATCTAACTCTAACTGTCACTCGCAGATCCGACTCTTTTCCAGGTATCAGAGTTTCCTTCATCTTTAAAATTAGTTTTCCCACGTACAAATCCGTCCCCCCTTCATCCTACCATGTAGTTAAATTTATAAAAATATCAACGTAGGAAGACTCAATTATACAGCCTCTCAATTCCTCACATCCAAACGATGAGGTAAACAAAGAGTTCAAATGAAATTCATACCTTTAATAATCTAGATGGATGGAAAGACTACGTTTGGAACTTATAAAGAACAGAACCTACTTTTGTGCCCTTTTAATAGAACTTTTAGATTGAAGATTAATCTTCGTTATTTACCAGATTACTACTTTTCATCCCAATACAACCCATTTATTCATCTATGGCAATAATGCAGTAAAGGTAGTGTATATTGCAATAATGGTAACTAACTGATGATGTCTAGGTGGGAGAGGTTTCCCTTCACTTGACGATCTATTTCTGAAACAAAAATTTACACACTTTCGGCATATATTCACTCCATCAATTGAAATAGCTACCATTCACATGATTTCTTTTCGTTAATTTTAAAACTAGTTTCAAGCTGAAAAAATTAAATTAAATTATATGTATATAGTGAGTGGGGTGTGCGATAGACTTACCTCCACGTGGTGCACCCTGGGCAACGTATATTCATACGGCAAAAAAGTCTATAAACCGGTAACTGACTTCAAACTACCATGTTACCACTGTATGACATATTCGACCACTTCCACAGTACTACACCCTACTCGCCTTTGAAACCCTCCTCTCGACTTTTTTTCACTTTGATGTTCCTTCCCCTCTGTGAAGCCTGAAGTCAACTAAAGGGCTAATGATAACCATCAAGACGCCTGCCATTTGATATAAATATATATATATATATATAGTAAGTTGAATGAAAACTTTTTCATCCCTAGAGTTAATTTCACAATCATTTAAGTACTTGATACGTTAAAACTGCTTATCTAGAAGTAAAATTGTGATTATTACCACGTCGGAAATTAATAATCACAGAAAAGTTACAAACAAGAGCAAATAAATCGCTGTATTTCTATAAGGGATTCGAGGTTTGAACCCCATATCCAAGAAGATGTTTTGGTAGCAAGATAGAAGTCGCGAGTCTATAAAGATGTATAACCTCGAATTAGAAATACGTCTTCTCACATGTGGAATAGAGCTCCAAATTATATCACCGAGGTTCGGTGAGCTTACTGAGTTACTCCACCGTCCTTGAACAGTATTACAATATAAAATGCAATATTTACAACCATCAGTGGCATAAGTATACTTTTAACTATGAGATATCAGAACTAACCCAGCATGAGTACGCCAGTGGACCTCCGAAGACGTCTCATCCACGAAGTCATCCTCTTCATTCTCAGGACCTTCAGGTGAGTAATCTCTTCCCCTCATTCGGTAGTTCTTCACTGAACGAGTAGGCTGCCTCACTGCTTTTGGAGGTTTGGTTACTCTTCGTGGAGGCAGAGTACCGTAATAATCCGCATAGTCATCTCCATCCCCTTCATAGGCTCTTGAATTACTTCCATGTGGCCTTCGTCGTGGAAGTGAATCATAATAGCTCTGAGATGTGCAGTGCGAGCACTGGGAACACCGACTCTCAGATCGATATTGGGATGAGGTGAGTTGATCATAGTCCTCTCGATGTCTACTATGGTGATGATTTGAATAGCCCTTCTTGCCACTACTCCTTCTTGAAAATGAACGCCGCTCTTCCTCCGCCTCCAGTTCATCACTGGGGAGAGATGGGGAAGACGTGGAACTTGCGCTAGGTCGGCGCTGTACCCGGGGAGTTGGAATATCCTCTACAGGGGGACTTTGGGACATTGCTGGGGGTGATGAACACTGGATTGGAAATTCTCCAGACTCCTGAAGAGTAATAAATAGAGTAAAAATCGGGTCATTTAAGGATAAATTTTAAAACCAATGCGAATACACTACTTGTCATAAATATAATTATAATTTTTTGAAATGGAAATGTGATTTAGGTGTTAATAAGCCGAGTATTGGATAGAAAGACTTTGCGTTTGACTGACTGACTGACTGAATGGTAGAAAATTCTGAAAAGAGCATGATACAAAATTGACACACGCGCACACTTACACATATTAGTAGTACGTGGCAACTAAAATGAAATCTAGAAGCCGTTACGACTTTATGACTACCAGGGTTTATATATTTTGGAATAAATTACGGCGCGTGGCTCAGCGATATTCTGAAATACTTTGAATTTGAATATTCCCCCCTTTTATACGTCAGCTATAGCCAAACTGCAGAATAATCAACGACTATTCTCCGTTGCAATAAAATACAAAGAAAGTGGTTAATTTAGCCTTTAACGTTAACTTATATGTACATTTTTTGAGCGAAATTGCAAATTATTAAGTCGGTGCAAGCATTTTTGTCATTATTTTTTCAATACCGATGAATTTATTAAAAGGGAGGAACACAATTCACTTTGCATTATTCCTCCGCAACTTTAAATCTTTCTTTTAACTTTTCTAGTTAATGGAAAGCTATAAAAATGTCATCTATGAAAGCCTACCATGTTAGAACTGGTCTCGACTTGTTCAGGAACACTTGACGAGAAGTCATCCATATCCGTTCCTTCCACATCAACTGCAACAGGAGATGACGAGTTCAAGGCTTCTTCTTCTTGAACTTCTTCTTCAGGAACAATTACCTCACCTTCTTTAACAGACCCTTCAGGTGGAATATCACTTTGACTGACAGTGAATTCGTCGTTGAATTTGTTACTCGATAAATCACTTTCCTCTTCTTCAGCAAGAGATGTCGGTTCCTCCGAATTAGTACCTTCTCGACGTCGTTTCTATAAAAAAAGTAAATTTATGTACCCCGATACAGTGAGAACAGGTAAGCATGAGCACATATAAAACCACTCATTCACGTAAAGCAATACCACATATACGCGTGTATAGTGCATAAGCTTATGTGATTTGTTCATGCGTGCATGACCTTAGGAAAGGCAGCCAATGATGATCGTTTATTTGGCCCTCACCCCTTGTGGTTGTATGAAAATGAGTTTGTGATCTCTCTCGTTCCCACATTAGAAACATAGAAGCTAGATATTCATTGTCTCTAAGTGGGTCAGTAAATATCTTAGCAACTAAGATATGTATGACGCGGTCGTCACCGTCAATACTTGGAGGGGGGATTGGGGGAGGGGGGGGGTGCAGGACACTCTGACAGGAGAGATAAAAACACCAAGCCTTGATGATGATGATGCGAAGTAAAGGAATGCTCGAACATGAAAGTAATTGGAGTATTAGTTGCACTTTTATGATGCCTTAGAAACAGCAATCCAGAGTAAAAAACCCAAAAGGAGCTAAATAAGGGGAGAAGATATTAGGAGCCTCAAATTTTGATAGACTAACGTACCCTGGAGTTTGACGGTGGTGCCTTCTTCGATTGCACTTGTTTTTAAAATTATAGGGTAATTGAGAAGTAACTTCTTTTTTCAAAATGGCTTATTTTCACAGGAAAAACTCAAATAACTAATTTGGAATTAGAGTTAATGAGCTAACATCGGTTTAACTGTTCTTAAGCCGCTCGAGACCGTGCTATACTACTTGGGGCCTTGAGTTCTGCAAGAATGATCCTTTATGGTATTTGGCATATAATTCTCAAACATTCAATGCGTGCTGACAATTTTAGTAAACATTTAAGGGTCGATAATTTGAATAGACAATATGTTTGAAAACCGAATTAAAATTCCGCTATTAGTGAACATTTGTGGGTTGAATATTTATTGATTAAATAATGAATAATTTGAAGAGCTGAATAGAAAGTGGTTGCGTATTAAGTACTAATTTTATATTCTGAGAAATAATATATTACCGAACTCCTCTACTCTTCTAAGAGTTCAACGCATTTAGCTTTTTTTGTAAAATCTCACGCCTTGCTCAATCGCAAGAATTTTAAATGTCCTCATTTGAAGAAGTTTAAGTCAATCATTTATTCTCGCAATCGGGGTGTGGGACAGACTTACCTCCGCGTGGTGCACCCTGGACAATGTATACTCATACGGCAAAAAAGTCTACTATCCGGCAATTGACTTCTCACTTTAAACAACCATCACCCCCACTGTATG